TTTTAAAACATTTTTTGTCCCCTCCAACCACTACATTTTCAAACTTAGTATCAATTTTCTTGTGCTAAAAAAAGCTCTCTCTCGCGCACTTAAGTGAACCAGAAGTAACCCCACCATTCCGGCCAAACAAACCTTCATTTGCCATTGCGTGAATTATCCGAACCGTCAATGAAGTGGTTTTAGCGATGAAGTTTCGTGTCTTTTTTCCTAGGGAACGTTTAATGGCTCACCTTTTGTTCTCTATCGTTTATGGCTCACCCTTTTTTCCTTTTTCTTCTATTGAAATGGGTTTGAAATGTGGTTGTTTATTGTATTGTTTTTCTGCTAGTCTAATCTGTGCATTTGTACATTTGTGAGAGCTCTTGTGTTACTAGCTGGTTTGCGACTTATTTCGGGATTCTTATTAAGGTTAGTAGTTTCTTTATTTTTTATTTTTATTGTTTAAAAATGTTTTGAGCTGTTTGGTTGTTTTGTACTGTATATACCGAATATTGTTGCGTTTGATTTTGGCATTTTCTTCTAAATGATTTATGCTAGATGGGGAATATGGACAAGGAATGGATACTTGTCAATCATCTAAGCGAGCAATATCAAATAAGTCACAAAATTACGTCATAGCCCAGTACTTGAAATCACCCTAATAAAAGAACGCATGGGTATAAAGATTGAAGTTGCGGAGGACTGATCATGTGTTAGATTAAGGTTGGCACTTTTTTTTTTTTTTAATATCATTATCAGTTAATGATTAAAGTTTAATGCGCATGGATAAAGATAACCCAATAAACAGAGGTATTATTGGAAACAAAAAATAATTATTGGAGACAACAGAAAATGAGTTATCATATTTAGAACCAAATCAAAATCATCAAATAGACCTTATATTTAGGACCTGGGGAATTGATTTGTACATGCAAATAGTTCTGTATAATCAATTGATGAAATTAATGCAGGAAATTCGGCATATCAGAATTTTCCCAAAAAATAGATGTGAATAAGTATTATTTTTCTCGTCAATTCTAAGTTTCTAACTCGCTTAGTTTAAATAAAATTGAAAGGTGACAAGTCCAAAATAAAATTTAGAAAAATAAGAGTGCATTTCTTTGCTAACACAGTTCATATTCCATTTGGTAATTTGTTCTGTATTCCTCAAAAACAGGTAAAGACAATAATTAGAACATCATTATCCTTTTGGCTAAAGGAACGCGTTTCCCTGCTCAACAGGAGATGAGCACCGATGGCTCATCTCCAATGCGCACCATTTTATTAAGCAAAAGGTATAACCTGTACCCTCCAAAACAAAGTCACTTCTGCTGTGCTCCTAGGCGAACATTATTTCAGCCCAAATTGCACTGGTAACTTAGGAACCTGCCAAATAATACTGCGTTGCGATCTTAGGAATTTTACTTTGGGTGTATTCTTTGCTTCTATTCTTTAATCTCGTTGAATATTATTTTAGTTGATAAAGGCTTACGGCTATTGGTGCATAATTTTTTGCATCGATGTGATGCCAAACTAGACTTCATGTCAACTCTGCCATAGTTAATTGCAAGAATTAGTTGTTTTAGAAAATTAAGCATGCAGATTTAGTATAAAAACTAAAAATTTTCTCCCTCGTGCGATCCACGGAATAGAATATTTAATTAACTTTTAAATTTCAATAATTGTATTATCTAAGGTAGCTCAAAATTTACTTATCTTAGAAGTGTGATTTTTTTTTATTCATTCAAATAAGACTTGAATTAGATATTCAGAAATTAGGAGGAACATATAAAAATTTAACCTTATTTAAGCCCACAATTGACATAGGGTGTGTTTGGATTAGCGGTGGAAAAGTAACTTTTTTTTCAATCTGACTTTTACAGAAGTCAGATTGGATAAAAGTCAGATAGTGTAATGTGATTTATGTTTGGATTGGATTTTGTAAACAAGTCAGTTTGAAAAGTTGAAACTTGTTTGGATGATTAATGAAAAAGTAAGTTTGGATATAAAATGACTGAAAAGGATATAAATTTTATTATATGCAAGAAATAAATATGGATAGTATGGTCATTTTCTATGCAAATGGCATTTCTTTTGAGGTGAGAGAGTGTATCCCATTTTCATAAAGCTTATTTTTTCTCATCCCACCGTGATGCATCCCATAAGCAACAAAATATGACTTCACCCAAAAGCTACTTATTTTCATGAAGTTCATTTTGTTCCATCGTGATTCCAAACAAAAATTATAACCAGAAGCTAGTTTTGCTGGGGAAAAGTCAGTTTGGGATCACAAAACGTGATCCCAAACACACTCATACTCCCTCCGGTCCTAACTATAGACTCATTTTGTAGTGTAAATTACATGACAAAATGGGTCATATATTTAGGACCGGAAGAGTATTATTTAATTATTATGCTTTTTATTTAATTCAATATATTCAAATCCCAATTAAGATATTATTTAAATCTAAAATTAATTATTAACTTTTCATTTAAGCCTCTAATTGAAATCCCATTCAATAATGATGCTTCTTATTTAATTCAATATATCCAAATCTCAATCAAAATATTATTCAAATCTCATCAATTGAATATATTCGAATGTCATAATATCATACCCGACCTGTTTTTAAACGAACAAAGTATTACAAGTTTTCAAGAATATGGTTGATATAAAAAGTTTACATGAGTAACTACAAATTCTTTTTGGTTCATTGCTGCAAATTCGTTTTGGTGATACCATATTGCTATAAATTGAAAATACTAAAGAACATAATAAATACTACCTGGTCCTTAATATAAGAATTGACTAATTTGAGTAGATTAAAAAAATTTGTTAAGTTAGTTATTTGTAATAAATAGGTATTATCATTCCTAAAATACCCTTACAATCAAGTGTTATCATTCCTAAAATATCCTTACAATCAAGTGTATTAGCTTTAACATTTGATAAAATCGTTGACATGTATAACTATTACAAGGACTACTTAAAAAAAAAGAATAAATACTTGCTACATATTATAAGGAATGATATATATTCCATGTGAATTTTACATTCCACATCTTTACAAGACATTGTGATTTACCATAAATTGCTGCAGATGGACAAAAAAGATTGTATAATGAAGGATGGAAATTGATTTGCACATATACTTCAAATAGAGAATTGAAGCAAAGCAAACACCATCCTATAGAAGTTTGTCCTTTAAACTTTGCAAAAAGCCAAAAAGCGCTTATTAAAGCAAAGTAGTCAAAACAAGCAAAGCAAACTATCTTCAAAAGTTAGAACTTGTTATGATAAGCAATGCTAAGCTATAGAGTAGCGAGACCAAAGCTATAAAAAGTCTTGAGTGTGTTTTACTCTCTTGTATGGGGAAAAAAAAACATGTAACATGTCAAGTCTGTAAAGAGGCTAAAATGTACAAAAACTGATTATATATCAAAAGCAAATTGTATATGATATTACTGAACTGAATAAAATGTTATTTTTATGCAAATTGGGTGTATATTTTTATATTCATTACTTTGCATATAGTTTTGCATGAGATCTATGGCTTCAAGTCATGGAATTGCAATACTTTGTGCCTATATTTGCAAATGTCAATGGCAGTGACATTAAAGTATAAAAGCTATATATAACACTTAGTGATAAACAGTTTATCAATTCATACCATCAACAAGCTTGTATATGACAATGGTTGTAACCTAAAGGGTGGAAAACCATGTTGTGTTGGAGAAACTGAGAAGAAAATGTTGAATCTTGTGTTTGTGAAAGTTGTGTTGAAGCTTCTAAATATGAGATTGTTGAAGCTTGAGTTTGAAATTTTTTCTACACTGAAATTCAGCTTTTTTCCAATTTTCAATGGTGCCAAGTGTGTTAATTCTCTTTCTCTTGTGATGGCTAACACAACGAAATTGTTTCCCTAGGAGCACAGCACAAGCGACTTTGTTTTGGAGTGTACAGGTTATACCTTTTGCTTAATGAAACGGTGCGCATTGGGAGATGAGCCATAGATGCTCATCCCCAGCTGAGCAGGAAAACGCATTCCTTGGCTGAAAGGGAGGCAAGAAAAAACTTTAATGATGAACTTTATTTAAAAAATTAAAAAAGCGAGGACAGAAGTTTTAAATTAATTTTTATTACTAATCTTTTATCTTATATATTCTTTTTATAAAAATTTTAAAACCTCTCTTCTCTAATTTTATACATCCAACTCACTAAAATTTTCCTTTTCTTGTCCTCCCCTCCATTCTACTCATACCAAACATAGGTATCAGAATGCTCATTGTTTATTAAATTTCCTTTTTTTCGCTCCCTCCTCTCCTCCCACAATTTTGACCATTTATTGGCTATACGCTGTTTTGCCAAAAGTCTAGAACGTGTTGATTAATTCCACTTAATGTAACCTTGCTATTATTAACCCTAATTAAATACTTTTTCCCCACACGGATAATGCAAATAAAAGTTTCTTCAACGGAGATAAAAATCATAGAAAAATAGAATCGATGAAAATTTTGGTGGATTAAAAAATAATACCTTTGGTCCTAATTATAAGACCTAATTTATAATCTACAAATGAGATCTTATAATTAGAACCGGAGGCAGTATTGCAGATCGAAAGACCTGGAGAAACCCCCTTGGTATTTGACACTTCTTCTTGTACATTTTATGTTTTAGTATTAATATTAATAATTGATAATTATTTACTAGTGAAGAGAAACTCCTTTGTTCATTCAATAACAGTTAGACGTAAATTAGAACTTTGGTCCTTCATTATACATTTAATTTTGTGGGCTCTGCTGGTACTAATTTAATTATCATTCAAAAAGCAACTCCTTTGGTGTAATCATTAATGCCTTTAGCAATTAAAAAAGGAAAAAAAATATTTATTCATAGAAACGGGAATCATAGATCACTATAAACTTTTTATTGATATAATTTATTTGTCATCAGGAACTATAGAACTTGATGATGATAATGCAGTGGAGATAGTGATGATACATATATATCTGTTGAATAATTAAGCACACCGAAAGCCCCTGGGGACACTTCTGCCACAGGTGCTGAGAATCGCACTCAAGGTATGGGAAATGTTAAGGTTGATACCTAAGACATTGGCTCTAAGGGCAGTGCAGAGGCAGGCGGCGGCTTCGAGGTCGACGAGGCCCGCCATGCGGGGACAGCAATCGCTCTTGCCGAGGCGGACGTTGATGATACCCAACAGGCTGGCGCAGACACCTAACTTGAGGGCGTCCATAGGGCAACTTGGCTGATTTCCTGAGGAAGGAGGAGACGGCGATGGTGATTGCGCATAGGTGGAGGTTACCATGGTGAAGAAGAGGAGGTTGATGACACAGAGGACAAGGGCAGACTTGGAAGCCATTCTTCTAGTTTCTGTCACTTGGATTTTTGTGATACTTGGCTTTTGATCTGTGAGGAGTTTTGTGAGATATGATAGGGATTTTATAGGAGAGAGCATCCCTCTTTTATGGGTTTTTTTTATATTTTAAATATATGTAAAGCTGAGTTGGATTCTGAAATTATTGTGGCAGTGACTTAAAATGTCTAGTGCATGTTCTTTTTTTCCTTACATCTCTGATGTAACTTGCCTAACAAGGTGATATAATTGAACAAGTTTTGCACTTGATGTGGACTTTTTTTGTTTGGTAATTAAAGGTACGGTTAAGATTATTTGAATGTTCCAATACCATAGATTTGTCTTTATTTTACAAAATGCAAACTGTGTAACTATAACACTTATGTTGATATAGAGACGCAACCCAGAAAAAAAAAAAAGACATTCAAAGTCTTTATCATAATAAAAGTAGATTTTATGGCTAAAAAGACACGCACATGATATTTATGGTTATAAAGTTCGTCACATTCACAACAATATATTCCTTAATTATCAATTAAATCAAAATTTACTTGTGGCTTCTCACCATGATTGTTAAAATCGCGATTCATAACGTAAAATGGCACGCATCCATGATCACATCTCCTGCTTTCGTGCTGGTTAGCTTGCAGACTCAGAAGGAGTAGAAATCGCTGCCAACTCGACTGGAATCGGGAATTTGCAGTGAAATCGCGAGTGCGTTGACCTTTTTTTCGAGTTCAACTCAGTGCATAATGTAGTATTGCCTCCGGTCCTTAATATATTATGATATAGATATGAAGTTACATATACTCGTAATTTGATGGATAAATTTTAGATTATGATATTATTGACTTGTTATAACACACACTACCACTTGTCTTCCCAAGCACTCTTACGTATCAATCGTTGCTCTTTAAATTGTCGTTTCCATATTGCTAAAAGTATGATATAAAGTTATATTTTCCTACGTAATATGATATCAAGTTATACAATTATGATGTAGAGTTACATATGTTTATATAATTCATTTTACATACAATCTTATGGATAAGTGTTAAACTTTGATATAAATGACTTCTCCTCTCAAGAATTATCAGTTGTCATTTTAGACACTCTTACTTATCAATCCTTGCATTTTAAGTTGTTATTTTCGAGCTGCTAAAATATGATATAAAGTCATGTTCTTATATAATAATGTGCAGTTATATATATATATATATATATATATATTCATATAATCTATTTTATACATAACGTGGTGGATAAATGTTAATTTCTAATATAAAGGACTTATCATCTTAAGCACAATCATTTGTTATCGCAAGCACTTTACTAGTCAATGCTTGCACCTTAGATTGTGACTATCAAAATTTTTAGCGACAGAATTTTCATCGCTAATTCCGTCATTAAAAAAATAAGAAAGAGTAAGTTTGCCCACTAGAATATATAGAAGTAACGCCATATCTTGATACAAGACCTTAAAATATTAATTTTATAATCTTTGCAATTGGAATTGTCACAATTCACTGCCAACATGTAACATGCTTTGATTGAATTGTTTATGCACTAAGCTCCATTATCAATCAGCCTATTTTGGAATTAACAAATCGACTGCATATATAGAAGCTGTCCAACAAACATAAACTACAACAACAAAATCCACTTTTCATGTTGTCTGTTCAAAACAGAGATGAAATGTGAGATACTTACTATATTTCTTTTTTTTTTTTTTATGTCCTGTCAAAATAGAGGTAAAAAGTCTTCCAGACTAGAAATAAAAAGTGTCTACTGTAGTGGTTTGTAGAAATAGGAGATTTGGTTTCAATATTAATTTGGCACCCTGAGGTTTCACGGCAATACTAGCAGGTTGGCTTATTTTAAGTACTTTTACATATACAAGATAAATATATAGAGGGAAAAAAAACTTTGCGCTGGCCAAAAAAAGGTAGATGCTTTGGATTGAAATTCATGATCTTCAACTTTCTTTAATTTGTTTTAATTAAGGATAGATGAAACAACACATAATTGGTGAGGAAAAAAAATACAATTCGGTACATATTGCGGGGCCAGCTTTGTCATGACAATTTCAATTTTCATCCAATGGGCGAATCAATCAGTTATCAATTATTTAGTTATAAAATGATTTAATACATAATTTATTTAATTTTATTCCAAAATTAGCTTTTCATCCTGTTATTTATTTGTTTATTATTCACTTAAAATCTAAGGTCGAACTAAGAGGAAAAAAATTAGGTAAAGATAAGTAAAAGCAGCCGAAAGGTATCTAGTCCTATGGCCTGTTGAGGATTATATACGTACGAAAGCAGTTAAGGTTACAATTAACCTAGGGAAAATTTCACTAAGGCCCCAAGGAATAAAGAATACGGTAAAAAGGTCTCATAATTAGAAGTCCCAAAGAGACCCAAGTGTAAGAGATTGTAATTTAATAAAAATGTAAAAAGACCTCATTACACTACAAAAAAATTGACTTTTTGTCGCTGCTGACAAGTCGTTGTCGTAGCAGCCGTGGCTGAAAACTTTCAGCGGCGACTAAAAATCGCCGCTGAAAGACACTTTCAGCAGCGACTTTTAGAAGTTTCAGCGGCGACATTGTCTTTCAGCGGCGACCTTTTTAGTCGTTGCTGAAAGTGATGCCTAAGAAGAATTGGCTTTACCAACGCCACATCATCACCGCGGCCACCACGTCGTCATCTAACAGGTGCCACATCATCACTAGCCACCTCCACGTTATTGCCACATCACTCCTCCCCGCCACGTCATCGTCCAAATATTTTCACCTTAAATGTGTCTTCTTCAAAGTTTAAACTTGTGATTACCTCCTTTCGTATCCAATCTTCTTGCCATTGAGCCAGATTGAATTTGTTTATTAATATTGTAAAATAAAATATATATTATTATATTACACTTTCAACGGCGACATTATAAAGTCGCCGCTGAAAGTCAGACCTTCAGCGGTGACACTAATAGTCGCCGCAGAAAGTAAACCCAGTGATTATATCACCTTCCGCTCAAAGATATACTTTCAGTGGCAACACCAATAGTCACCGCTGAAAGTCAGACCTTCAGCGGCAACCATAGAATGTCGCTGCTAAAAGTGAACCGAATGATTCTCAAAGGTATACTTTCAGCGACGACAAAAAAAGTCACCACTAACAGTTCAATTTTAGCGGCGACAAAAAAAGTCGCTGCTGAAAGTCTTAGTTTCAGCGGCGACTTTTTTTGTCGCCGACGAAAGTCGTCGCCTAAAGTCCTTTTTTTTTTTTGTAGTGTTACCCTTGCTAATACCCTTACTCATTAATACATATAAAAATAGTTGTTAATATAGCTAGTTTAATTGTTAATAGCAAGTATGTGGTGCCCATTGATATTAGGTGTAAATATATACCGGGACAACTGTTAATGTTTGCACCTTAACTTGTCATTTTTATGATGCTAAAAGTCTTGTTAATGTTGGTACCTTCACTTGTCATTACAAGCACCCTGGGTTGGTTTTTGAAATTTCATTATATTAATTTGATTTGTAGAGTTTCATTTGAAAATTTAATTATGTTTCAGGCAATGAATGCAATGTATACTCTCTAAGTTATATATGATCATTTAAAATGGTTGTATTTTGAAGAAGTTAATTATTTTAAAATAATATGAATTGTCATTTGAGTTAAGGATAAAAAATACTCATGAAAATATATTAAGAATTTACGCAATACCGTAAATTTTCTTCAAGTTCAAATATACCAATCGAAGTTAAAAAAAAAATCAATAAAGCCAGCACTGTTAGTGTCCGTTTTTCAAGTAGTGGGACCTACTTTTTTAATGAAAATACCAAAATACCTGCAATTAAAACAAAAAAAAAAAGGTTAAGGATAAAAAATACCGATGACCTTATACCAAAAGTTTACCAAACACTATATAATTTTTTATAAGAGTACCAAAATACCCCTAATCTTGAAGGGATATTGCATTAGAGTGTATTAGAGATTATTAATTATAATAAATTTTTATAATTAAAATAACTCGTGTAAAAGAGTTTAAGCTAGAATTAAATTGCTGTTTAAAGATAAGTTGTTTATATCCCTAGTCTTCTCTTTTAATAGACATTTTAAGTGTCTTTTAAAAATAAGTTATTTGTACCAATGGCATATTGAGTTGTGTGCTTATCCTTCAGTCTATGTTATCAAATTTAACAGTTTATTTGAATTTTTTTAATGTTTATATTCAATTTTTTTGAGAAAATTTAAAGTCACTTTTGATAGTGGGATCCACTATTTTTAATGAAAGTATTAAAATACCCCAGTAAAAAGGAAAACAGAAACCACAATCTCCCTTTAACGTGTCGATGGTCTTCTTAGCTCCTCTCTCTTCAAAGAAAAAAGCCCACCCTCTTACAATATTGATTCATATTCTCTATTTCAATCAAACTTTAGAGCTTATTCGTATAATTTTCTTCTTGAATTAATTAAATTTTTTTAAATTGAATTAAAAATATGAAAGTATCAAATGAATACAAATCAAAAGATTAAAATATAAATATTTATTTTATTAACTTTATTTAACAATTTTCTGGAATTAAAACACTCCAGGATAGGTAATAATGATGTTAAAATATATAATATGATAAGTTATAAAAAATATTTAATTATTATGTATAATATTTATGCTATTAAAATATTTTCAGTCATAACAATTAATACGGTAACTGTAACAATTGGCTGATTTTTATAAAAGAGAGAAAAAATTTGTTGAAGAAGGAAAAAATTATTAAAAAACATTAATAACCTTTTATAATTATAAAGATTGGGATATACAAATTTATTATAATTAATAATCTCTAATACACTATAATGCAATAGCCCTTCAAGATTGAAGTATTTTGGTAGTTTCATTAAAAATTAGATGGTGCTGGGTGAACTTTTGGTATAAATTCATGGGTTTTTTTTTATCCTTAACTTTTTTTGTTTTAATTGGGGTGTTTTTATACTTTCATTAAAAATTGTGGATCCCACTGCTAAAAAAGGGATGTTAATGGCGCTACCATTATTGATCTCTTTTTAAACTTTGATTAATAATTTTGAACTCAAAAAAAGTTCATAGTGTTAGATGAACTTTTGATATATTTTTATGTGTATTTTTTACCGTTAATCCTTGTAATGTTGGTATAAAGTGAGTAGTTATTTATGACACCTTCACTTGTTAATACTTACACCATAATTTGTCAACACATAAGTTGTCAATACGGACACTTCTACTTATCAATTCCTTAATGTTAAAAATATGATGTAAAATTATGATGTAATTATTTCAAGTTACATATGCTTATACACTCCTCCGATCCTTAATATAGGACCCAATTCTTGAGTTGGTTTTGGTCCTAAATATAAGACCCCTTTCTCATATTTATCAATTTTCTCTAAATTACCCCTATAAATACTCCCTTCACCATAATCAAGTAAAAGAGGGAGAGGGAGTATTAAGAAAGAAGATTATGGTGTTTTAGGAAAAATGTGTCCCTTTTCTTATAATTAACTAACTTACCTAACTTCTTTAATCTAATCAAATTAGTTAAATGGGTCTTATATTAAGGACCGGAGGAGTAATATATTTTGCTTATAAATATGTTAAGTAATACCAATTTTTATTCCGGCAAATTAAATTAATACAAATTTTCAAACCTGTCCCAAGCGAATACAAGGATTTAGGAAAGATACATATATTTTTTCATTCCTTTGAAATTGCATTATAACATATCTAATTATAACATACAAAACCAATATAATCACAAAATGGATTATATATAATCACATATATGTCAACCTCTTATATTTTGAACCAAAATTTTTTTAACTAACTTCTTATATTATGAATGGGAGGGAGCATCTCCTATTTACAAATATATATATATATATATATATATAATCTATTACTTTTACGGTAAGATTTTTTGTTTTTGCCAAAAACTGAGAGTTCATTATGTAGATGTCAATTATTTATTTAATGCTGTAAACATACACTTAAATCAAATATAGTGTAATTTAAAAGTAATAAGAAGGCATAACAAATTTAAAAATAATGAAGACAAAAATGTCAATTTTTTAATGTTATATAAAATTATAGAGACTAAATCTATAATAAATAAAACTAGAAAAAAAATTTTCAAATGATATTTCTTTAATTCAAGTGTTTAAGTTTAACATCTTTTGATATATTTAAAAAACCACCTATTTCCTTTAATTAACAGCGAGAAGAAAGGTTGTCAGACACATGAGTTTATATAAATTCATGAGAATGAGATAAAATTATAAGTAGACTCATGACATAGACTGATAAGAGTTCACTTTTATAGTATGAAAGTATTAAATATATAATATTTGTGCAACTTGATCTATTATAATTTAAAAAGTATTATCTATATTCTATAATATGTAGTACTTAATTTAATAGGCAATAGATTAATTTAATATGCAATAGAAAATAAAAGAAAAGCATATTTATAAATAATGTTACGAAAGATATGAATCTTTTCAGAAAGAAAATCTTTATTACACAGACCAACTTCCACAATTTCGAAGGTAGTAATATTTTATGCTCTCCTCAAAGTTCAAGTAAATTACTCTTGTAAGAATATAGAAATAAACTGATTTTAAATATTTTAAAAAAAATAAAAAAGAAAGAGGCTATCTTTTTTCCCTTCACCTGGAATAGCCTTGAAAAACATGTGGCAAGTTTTAAGATATAACTTATATTTTGATAACAAAATGTGAATAATATTAGGATAAAAATAGTATACCAAATTGGCTTTCCCACCTCGTATCATCCGTAAACAAAAGCAGTTGTATTTATAAACATGACAGTAGGCCTGTAATTTTGAGTGGACACTTATAAGAAACACAAAGTAAAAACCAAATTTAAAATATCACGTTTATACTGCCCAGAATAAATCACGATAGTTGTTGTAAACTCAGAGTATCCTCAAACCAAGTCGGAAGTGTTAAGTTTAAACTTTTCCAACAAGTGCACATTTTGGGATTCAAAGTTGTGCTCTTCTCTTTACAAGACTGCTTACTATCTCAATTAACCAACAATTTGTTGGTAAATTTACCTTTATTATGATAAAATTTTGAATGTGAAATGTACTCTTTTTTTTTTTTTCTCGTTTTGCGCCTCTATATCAAATATAAATGTTATAGTAACACAGTTTTGCATTTTGTAAAATAAAGACAAATCTATGGTATTGGAACATTCAAATAATCTTAACTGTACATTTGATTACAACAAAATATCGACATCATATATGTGCAAGACTTATTCAATTATATCACCTTGTTAGGCAAGTTACATTAAAGATGTAGGAAAAAAAGAGCATGCATTAAACATTTACGTCACTACTATAATAATTTCAGAATCCAACTCATTTAAGCTTTACATTTAAGAAAATCCCAATTATTTTATTAAAAAAACCATAAAAGAGTGATGCTTTCCTATAAAAGCCCTCTTGTGCTATGCTTTTTATAAGAGTAGGACCGCTTACTATCTTAACCGACAAATTGTTAGTAAACTTAATTTTATGATGATAAGATTTTGAATGTCTAATAATTTTTTCCCTGTGCTGCACCTCTATATTAGGTATAAATGTTATATTTACACGGTTTTGCATTTTGTAAAATAAAGACAAATCTATGGTATTGGAACATTCAAATAATCTTAACCGCACCTTTGATTACCCAAAAAAAAAAATCCAAACCATGTGCCAAATTTATTCAATTATATCACCTTGTTAGGCAAGTCACATCAGAGATGTCGGAAAAAAAGAACATGCACTAGACATTTTAAGTCACTGCCACAATAATTTCAGAATCCAACTCAGCTTTACATATATTTAAAAAAAAAAACCCATAAAAGAGGGATGCTCTCTCCTATAAAAGCCCTATCATATCTCACAAAACTCCTCACCGATCAAAAGCCAAGTATCACAAAAATCCAAGTGACAGAAACTAGAAGAATGGCTTCCAAGTCTGCCCTTGTCCTCTGTGTCATCAACCTCCTCTTCTTCACCATGGTAACCTCCACCTATGCGCAATCACCATCGCCGTCTCCTCCTTCCTCAGGAAATCAGCCAAGTTGCCCTATGGACGCCCTCAAGTTAGGTGTCTGCGCCAACGTGTTGGGTCTCGTCAACGTCCAAATCGGCAAGAGCGATTGCTGTCCCCATCTTAACGGCCTCGTCGACCTCGAAGCCGCCGCCTGCCTCTGCACGGCCATTAGAGCCAATGTCTTAGGCATCAAACTTGACGTCTTCCATAGCTTGGAGGTGATTCTCAACACCTGTGGCAGAACCCTCCCCAGGGGATTTCAGTGTGCTTAATTCAAGAGATATATGTGTCATCACTGTCTCCACTACACTATCCTCATCAAATTCTATAGTTCTTGGTGACAAATAAATCATATCAATAAAAAGTTTATAATGATCTATGATTCCCCTTTCCATAAACAATTTTTTTTTTTTTTTGCCTTTCTTAATTGCTAAAGGCATCAACGATTACACCGAAGAAGTTGCTTTTTGAATGATAATTAAATTAACCAGCAGAGCCTAAGAAATTAAATGTATAATAAAAGACGAATGCTCTAATTTACGTATGACTGTTATTGAACAAATGAGTCTCTCTTTGCTAGTAAAATAATTATTAATTATTTATATTAATACTAAAATATAAAATGTATAAGAAGCCGTGCCAATACCAACAGGGTTTCTCCAGGTCTTTCGATCTGCAATATTTTTTAATCAAGCAAAATTTTCATCGATTCTATTTTTCTACGATTTTTATCTCCGTTGAAGGTTTTTTTTTTTTTTTGCATTATCCGTGGAGGGAAAAAGTATTTAATTAGTGTTAATACTAGCAAGGTTACATTAAGTGGAATTAATCAACGAGTTCTAGACTTTTGGCAAAACAGCGTATAGCTAATAAATGGACAAAATTGTGGGAGGAGGGGAGGGAACGAAAAGAAGGAAATTTAATGGACAATAAGCATTCTGTTACCTATGTCTGGTATGAGTGGAATGGAGAGGAGGACAAGGACAGGAAAATTTTAGTGAGTTGGATTTATAAAATTAGAGAAGTGAGATTTTAAAATGTTTATGAAAAGAAGATATAAGATAAAAGATTAGTAATAAAAACTAATTTAAAACTTTTATCCTCTTTTTTTTAGTTTTTTAAATCAAAATCATTAAAGTTTTTTCTTGCGTCCCTTCCCTTTCCACCAAAAGGATAATGAAGTTCTGATTACTGTCTTTACCCGTTTTTGATGAATATAGAACAAATTACCAAATGGAATATTAACTGTGTTAGCAAAGAAATGCACTATTATCTTTCTAAATTTTATTTTGGACGTGTTACCTTTTAAGTTTATTTAAACAAAGCGAGTTAGAAACTTAGAATATAATTGACGAGAAAAATAATACTTATTCACATCTATTTTTTGGGAAAATTCTAATGTGCCAAATATCCTGCATTAATTACGAAATTTGTTTCATCAATTGACTATACAGAACTATTTGCATGTACAAATCAATTCCCCAGGTCTTAAATATAAGGTCTATTTGATAATTTTAATTTGGTTCTAAATATGATAACTCATTTTCTATTGTCTCCTATAATATTTTTTTTTCCAATAATACCTCTATTTATTGTGTTATCTTTATCCATGCGCATTAAACTTTAATCATTAACAGCTAATGATATTTAAAAAAAGTGCCAACCCTAATCTAACACATGATCAGTTCTCCCCAACTTTAAACATCCATTTAAACATGTCAAGATCTCGATTAATTTAAACTTTAAACACGTCTAAATTATTGATTAAAAATCAGGATGTTACATTTGGTGTTCGCCTCCATTATCAGGTTGTATAAATTTTTAGGGAGAATTAGAGAGAAAGACCAATAGGGAGTGATATTTATGAGAGAGATTATAAAAATTAAAATTATTTAAAAGGACCAAATATTCAAATATAAATCTAAAAATTCCATATTGTCCCTGTCCAAGCCTCCTATTTCTCCTATATTCCCTCCTACATTTTATTTTTAAAACCAATACAAATTAATAAATTTTATTAAATTAAACCTGATTTCTTTGCGCAAAAATTAATTAAAAAAAATATGCAGACATTGTTCAGTGATGTGAAATTAAATTTTTATTTTCTTTCTAAAAATTAAAATTTTGAAAAATTGAAAATAAAAATTATATAATTTTATTAAAATTTATGATCCTCTCCCATAAATATTACTCCCTATTGGTCTTTCTCTCTAATTTTTCCTAAATTTTATCTTGGCATTAAACAAATTTTCAATGTCTTTGAAATAACATAAAAGCTTTAGAGACATTAGACTTTGCAAGAAGAGAATAAAAACCATGTAAAACATTTAATATTTTTAATATTTTCTGTCTGGACAGTCCATATTTGATATTTTTAATTAATTATTTTAAATAAAAATTATTTTTTGAAAAAATGACAATTGAAATATTATCCTTACTTTTAATTCTATACCCATTAAAATTATTATTTTTAAAAACAAAAACAAAAAATATTAAATTTGGACCGTCTAATGAACAGTCTCGATCTAATGAGTTTGGGATGCTTATTATGAATGATAAGCACCCAAATTCATTCCGTGATCATGCAACGTATTCCCAATGTCATGTTGCTTTCACATTTTGATGTTGCATCTAATTGTCTCTCTAGTCAACTAGAAAAAATTACTCTTTTACTTTCTTCATACTATTATGGAGGGCAAAACTTATTTCTTTGCCAACTTTGTTGTCAGTCCAAATGAGATTTAATATAGAGCCACTAATAACCCATTTAAGGTTACCTTTACTCCTCATACATACATTGCACAAGAGACTAGCAATATTCCTTCATTTTCATACTCTCCCCCATTCCTAAGATCTTGAAGTCTGATTAGCATAACCAAGTGGATTTTTTGATACGTGGTTTGAAAGTAATAATTCTTCTGGTAAAAAAAAAGAAAGAAAGAAAGTAATAATTCTGTTTCTGCATTTGATTCTCTTTAATTGGTACATGATTTTAACATATTACTTTTGTGTACAGATGCGCTGGGCTTCATGAAATGCATTGGTTCGCTGGGGATTTTAACAATTCCAGATAGATGACGCTGTCTTCAATATCACGGAACATATTAAGAATATAAATAAAATAAAGCCGCCGATCACTGCCCAAATAGTTAAATTTGGCAACGCTCTCATGCTTTCAAGAATCCTCATCCAATAGAATAAAAATCTCAACATTATTTGAGAACTGAGTATGAAGATAATTGCCCTTAATTTGTCACTTTTGGGTTACTCCAAAAATTAACCGAATTAATGTAATATAGTGCACAATCGGAGTCATATTCAGTTTGAGGAGCCGAAAATGAAATTAAATCCTAGTAAATAAATGCAAGTAACCTAAACTATAAAAAGGATTTTTGATTTGATAATTTCTAATTAAACACCATGAATTAAAATACTTTTTTTGTTTTTATATAAAAATGATTAAAATGAATGAAGATTAAAGAAATGAAAATGAAACACACAAATAACAATGATAACAATCAATTTTCCAATTCAACAACGCAGGAAATCCTTACTCCAAAAGATACAGGAGTTAAAATAATGAATTTAGAATTATAATTAAACTTTTAATTCAACAACCGAGCCACCTCGAATTGCCACAAAATATTTTCCTAAAATCCCAACTTACTAACTACAACCAAAATAGTAAAATGAGATTAAGGATGCTAAAAACTAATGCTTAATTAGAACTCTTAAATCCAAAACAACGGAATTAAAGCTAGCAATAGACAATATGATTCAATATTCTAAACCACCTCAGAAAATCACAATATATTAACTTCAAAATCAATACAAATGTCATAATCACAACATTATAATTGAAATTAAAGTTATAAACAGCCCAATGTCAAATGCTAAACAATAATCCAGTCACAATAATCTCCAAATATAATCAGATTGAACAATAAAATTTTTCTAATAATCAGAATAACTAGCTCCTGCCATTGATGTTGAATTAGAGAATTATTAAGCTCTAGCCACGGTTTGCCATAAAAAATGCCATATTCAGAACTTTGCTACAGGATTCTATGAAAGAGACGTGACGGAACAGTGCAATGAAGGATGACGCCTTCCAGCTCCCTGTTTTCTGCCTCTACTCGTCGCTGGTTTTGTCACGCCGAGAACGGAAGGAATAGAGAAGTCCACGACGATGGTCACATTGCTGGTCGCTCGCCTCTATTTGCTGTCGCGCCTCACTCCTCTTTCTTTCTTTCTTCTCGCCGTCACTCGTGCCCCTCCTGAATGAAGGTGATGAATGAATTATAGTATATTAGGTTGGGGGACAAAACGTTGCGTTTTGCTTCCCCTTTTATTATATTTTTTATTTATTATTTTATTTTTTATTTATTTTTTATTATATTTATTTATTTTTATTTTATTTTTAAATCTTCCAAAAACCTATAAACAAAATTCAAGAATAAGGTAGCATTAATTGTCCTTAAAAATCAACCAAAAAATAATAATTTTACCCCTATAAAATAATAATTCAAAATAAAATATATTAAATCAATTAACAATCAATTAAGACCAAAATGACTAATTAAGTTGACAAAACCCATATAAAAGATATCAAAATATATAAAAATAATTGAGTTTGTCAGAGTAGAAACACTTCTATTAGGTTTGATTTTGTATGAGGATTCTAAAAAGCATGAGGGCATTACCAACTTCAACCATTTATTACAATTTTGGAGGGAAACAAAATTTCAAAATTTTGAACACCACCTACTTACTCAAACAACACAGTCAGAAAATAGAAATGGAATCAGGGCCAAAAAAAAAAAAAACAGGAATGGAAGGAAATCGGGTCATTTGCGGCGTGAAACATCTCCATGTAGGCATCCTCTCCATTTCCCTTCATTAGGTCAAAACTATGTCATTTCCCATCTCTCCATCAATCAGCTTCTTGTATTTCCCCCGTCCTAAATATAAGGTCTATTTGATGATTTTGATTTGGTTCTAAATATGATGATT